GCAGGTGTGAGAGGAAGACACCTCTGCACAGGGCCTCATGGGGACTCCCTGTTCAACGGGACAAGGTCCTTTTACACCACAAATATTTTCTAATGGCCCCTTAATTATCTTGTAATAAAATGCATAGGTGATGTAACCTTCATCAACAGTTTAAATAAAGTAATATAATGCCCTAATTCCAGGAAAAAATAGAAAAGCTATAATATGCATTTTTTCAGCTGTACCAAAAAATATGATTGATTTGTTGGATGCTTGTACCTCCACATAAGATCATTGTTTGTCAATAAACTGATACCTTATTGGTAATTTAAATGTGCACCATCACTGTGAATGTCAAGATTTCTGCAATGGTGAGTGGCATTGAATTCTGAACAGAAAAAGTACAAGCATCACATAAGGTTAGAAACAGTTGAATGATTCAGTATGCAGTAAAACCCTCTAGCTATCACTTTACATGTGAAACACTTAGGATTTAGTCTGAAGCTACAATGACTAGGTTTCTAGTGATACAATTACTAAATTTCAGGACTTTGAAAAACCTTGTTGAATACAGAGTGATCCTGCATCATGAGAGACTCCTCCACACACAGATCCCATAAGCCTCAGAAGACAGCCATCTTGTGTGGTTTGATAGGGAGTGGCACAATTAGAAGGTGTGACTTTGCTGGGGTGGGTATGGCATTGTTGGAGGAAGTGTCACTGTGGGGGCAAGCTTTGAGGTTTCCTATGCTCAGGATACCACCCAGTATCTCAGTTGACTTCCTGTTGTTTGCAAGATGTAGGACTCTCAGCTATTTCTCCAGTACCACATCTTCCTGTCTGCTGCCATGCTCCCTGCTATGATGATAATGGACTCAACCTCTGAAACTATAAGGGAGCCTCCTCAATGAAATGTTTTCCTTATAAGAGTTGCAAGGGTCATGGTGCCTTTTCACAGTAAACACTAAGACATACCTCTTCACACAGCCAAAGAGACTATGGTCATGAAAGAAACTGGGCTTTAGGAGTGATGCAGCTCTGAGCAGTCAGAGCAACCCATTTAGTTCTGTTTATAATGTGATAATGAGAATGTTTGCATATACTCTGTTCAATGAAGTTGTGGGGTCTCCCTTTTCCTCGTGGTCTCTTGGCCACCAGGCTATGAGGACAAAGGGAGCAGAGGCAGTGTGAAGGGCTTTGTATGACCTATGAGTAAGATGGAAATAGCCTTCCAGGAGTCTGCTTCAGTGAGATAGCTCAGCTCTATTTCGGAGTAATGGGGACAGTGGCTGGGGCATCACCTAATTTGCATTTGACAGCACAGCATGGTCCTACCATACAGCTGGAGCACAATACCTATTTACCATATGGACAGCAGAGGGAGCATTTGCAGGAACTATGACAAAGGTCACACTTAAGATAAGTCAGGCATCCAGTCTCAGGGACAGCTTCCAAATAAGGTCAGGCATCTGGGCCTAGAGAAACTATTCAAATATGGTAGGGAGGGTGTCCTGTTGCAAAGGGAGTCCTCCATATTACACCAAGCTCAGAAAGCTATCTGGACAATGGGAACTGCAACCTTAAATGCAGGGTACTCCAACATGAAGTAGCCACTAGCCATGGCCCACTAGTTAGCACTTCAAATGTAGCTAGTAAAACCAGGGAGGTAAAGGTTTAATTTAATTTTCATTTCCTTAATTTTAAATAACCATAATAGCTAGGACTACATTGGCTATATGACTCCTGAATCTTTTTCTTGTAGCTGCATCTCATACAGCAATATGAGGGGGCATACAGGATGTGAACCTGTTCTCCTTACCCTTTCTGAAGGATAACTTGCCTCCTTCCACACATTGCTCACTTTTACTAGTTCTGGGGAGATAGCACAATGATTAAGAGTGTGCACTGGTGTTGTCTTAGTCCAAGTCATTGTTTAGGCAGCCATGTTGGTGAGACTTCATGGGTGTAGTGCTGGCAGCTCTAGTAGACACAGTCTCACAGCAAACTCCCTCTTTCTCTGGCTCTTACAATTTTCTCACCCCTTCTTCTGAAATGATCCCTGAGTGTTAGATGCAGGAGTTACATTGTAGATGTATTAATCAAAGGGAAGAAATGGAAAAATGATGAAACTATATTATAATCTTGAAAATTATTTAAAAATCAACTAAATAAATATTCTTGGGACATGAAAACAACAACAAAAGAATACACACTGCTCTAGAAAAAGACCCAAGTTCAGAACCCACCACCCATGTCAGGTGGCTCATAACTGTCTGTGACTCCAGGTCCAGAGGGATCAAACATATTTGGCCTCCTTGAGTGACTACACTCAGGTGCACATACCTACAAACAGAAACAGACACACACATGTGCAAGAGAGAGAAAGAGGGAGAGGAAGAAAAGGAGGGAGAGGGAGGGAGTCTTAAAATCTCTTACCAGTTCTTCAGTCCTAAACTGCATGGCACCATCTCCCCATCTCTCCTCCCCTCAGCTCTCTATATCATAGCATTATCTGCTGTTTTACAGATACCTGTTACCTGCTTTTTCTACAGTATGGATTTCAATAAGTTCATAATTTTTAACTCCTATTCCTAGTTTATATCTGTCTCAACAGGTTTCCACTTGGCTGACAGACAATCCAAGCATCATTTGCTGACAACAACCTGCTCCAAATGACTGTGAGCCCTGAACTTGCTGAAAGTTGATATGGACCAATCCAGCTGATATAAATGCCATCTCTTCAGCTGGTCAATAAACAAGATGCTTCCATGTTCCCTCCTTGCCTTTGACTAACATTCTGGCTTTCCAGGGCCCAGACAACAATGTCCTAACATCAGCAGGAAGTAATTATAGAAGCGAAAACATCACACACACACACACATGCACTGGAATGTTAGATCAAAAGGGAATTTCTTGTCATAGGGAACCTGAGATAAAGTAATAACTGGTTCCTATTCTCATTTCCAAGTTCCTTCAGGATAAGGAACTCTATCAGCCACAAGGGATTTTGGCCCTTGTGCTTCTGTTAATTACTGTTGGCTCTTATGTCATTGATGTCTTAACTAAATGATGATTCCTGTCTGGGTACCACTAAGCTGAGGATGCTAGAATCCCAACATCAGCCCCTGAATTACACCCATGACACACTTGCAGATGGCAACAACCATATAAGGGGAAGCTCACTTTGCCCTTGATAATGGGAAAACTTTCATGTCCTGGTCCAATTAGTCTCCAAAATAATCTACTACCCTGGTGATAAAGTCTTTTATAAAAAAAAAAAAAAAAAGAATCTCCAAGATTGGAGATGATATACTACTCAAGGGGGGAATGAAAGGACCAAGCAGATGCCATAACAGGCTGCCCAGTCTTTTCTCAGAAATCAAGCTTCAATTTCAGTTTCCTGAGACTTGAGCAAGCAGTTTCTGGGAGGGCTATGACATAGTCCTTGCAGTAGCTCCCTTTCTGCACATACTCTGACTGCTCAAGGTTCAGCCAGTTCTTTACTGTCTGGGACCCCTCACCAACTTAAAGCTATGTGCATGAGTCAATGTGAACATGCAAGGCCAACCAGCCTCCATGTCAGCTCATGTACAGAGCCTGGGCCATTGAGTCAGCCCCCACAGTCAGTATGTGCTAGGCCAGCCAGCCTCCATGGCAGCACAAGGACAAAGCCTGGGACTTGTCCAGGCCTGCCCCAAAATGATAACTGTAACCCCCAACCAATAAATTCAAAGGTTACATACTTCATCCAATCATATGATGCAAAGGCATGTACCTCTCTGCTTGCAGTTTTTCTCTTTAAAAACTCCTTACCCTGAGAGCTTAGGGCCATCCTCTTCCACCTGCACAGTCAGAGTGTTGGACAGAAACCAAGCCTGGGCTTGCTTGTTATCAATAAATGCTGTATGTTTTGCATTGGGTATCAGCTCTGTGGTGGTCTTGCTGGGGGCTCTTGCGACATGGGCATAACAATACAATAGAGATAATAGATTCATCAGTCAAAGAAAACACTAAAGCCAAAAAAATCATAATACAAAACATCCAGGAAATCTGGGACACCATGAAAAGGCCAAACCTAAGAATAATAGGGATAGAAGAAGGAGAATACCAACTCAAAGCACAGAAAATATATTCAACAAAACCATAGAAGAAAAATTTTCCAACCTAAAGAGGGAAATGCCTATGAAGATGCAAGAAGCTTACAGAACACCAAATAGACTAGACCCCCCAAAAAGTCCTCTTACCACATAATAATCAAACCATTAAACATACAGAATAAAGAAAGAATATTAAGAGCAGCAAAGGAAAAGTTCCAAGTGACTTATAAATGAAGGCAGACCCATCAGAATAGCACCAGACTTCAAAATGGAGACTCTGAAAGCCAGAAGGTCCTGGACAGACATTATGCAGACACTAAGAGACCAAGGATGCCAGCCCACACTACTATACCAAGCAAAACTTTCAATCACCAAAGATGGAGTACACAAAATATTCCAAGACAAAACAGACAGATTTAAACAATACCTATCCACAAATCCAGCCCTACAGAAAGCACTAGAAGGAAAAACTCCAACCTAAGAAAGTTAGATGCACCTATGAAAACACAGGCAATAAATAACCCCACAGCAGCAAATCCCAAAGAAGGGAAATACACACTACCACCAAAAATAAATAAATAAACAACAGGAATTAACAATCACTGGTCATTAATATCACTCAATATCAATGGACTCAATTCCCCTATAAAAAGACACAGGATAACAGAATCAATATGAGAACAGGATCCATCGTCCTGCTACATACAAGAAAAACACCTCAACTACCTCAACTTCAAAGGTAGACATTATCTCAGAGTAAAAGGTTGGGAAAAGACTTTGCAATCAAATGGACTTAAGAAGCAAACTGGAGTAGCTATCCTAATATCTAACAAAGTAGACTTCAAACTAAAATCAATCAAAGGAGCTTTAGAAGGACATTACATATTCACCACAGGAAAAATCCATGAAGATGAAGTATTAATTCTGAACATTTATGCTCCAAATACAAGGGCACCCACATATATAAAAGGAACATTACTAAAGTTTAAATCGCACTTCAAACCCCACATACTAGTAGTGGGAGACTTCAACACCCCACTCTCACCAATGGACAGGTCTGCAATACAGAAATTTAACAGAAAAATAAGGGAACTAACAGATATTATGACTCAAATGGACTTAAAAGACATCTGTAGAACATTTCACCCAAACACAAAAGAATATACATTCTTCTCAGTACCTCATGGAACCTTCTCTAAAACTGACCAAATACTCAGTCACAAAGCAAATCTCAATAGATAGAAAAAAAATGGAATAACCCTCTGTATCTTATCAGATCACCATGGCTTAAAGTTAGAATTCAACAACAACACAAATTATAGAAAGCCTACAAACTCATGGAAACTGAACAACTCTCAACTGAATCACCACTGGGTCAAGGAAGAAATCAAGAAAGAAAGACTTCCTAGAATTCAATGAAAATGAATGCACAACATGCCCAAACTTATGAAACACTATGAAAGCAGTACTAAGAGGAAAGTTCATAGTGCTAAATGCCTACATAAGGAAGTTGGAGAAATCTCACACTAGCGACTTAACAGCACACCTAGACAAAAAGAAGCAAATTCACCCAGGAGGAGTAGATGTCAGGAAATGAACTGAGGGCTGAAATCAATAAAATACAAATAAAGAGAACAATATAACAAAAGAGTTGATTCTTTGAGAAAATCAGCTAGATAGAAAAACCCTTACACAAACTTAGCAAGAAGCAGTGAGAGAGCATTCAAATTAACAAAATCAGAAATGAAAAGGAAGACATGACAACAGACAGCAAGGAAATCCAGAGAATCATCAGGTCAAACTTCAAAAACATGTACTCCACAAAATTGGGAAATCTGAAAGAAATGGACAGTTTTTTTTGGATAACGTAGCAAAATTGAAGACCAGATAAACAATTTAAATAAACCTGTAATTACTAAGGAAATAGAAATAGTCATTAAAAGTCCCCCAACCAAAAAACAGTCCAGGACCAGATGGTTTCAGTGCAGAATTCCACCAGAATTTCAAGGAAGAGCTAATACTAATACTCTTCAAATTGTTCCACACAATAGAAACAGAAGGAACATGGCCAAACTCTTTTTATGAGGCTAAAGTTAGTCTGATATCCAAACCACAACAAAGAAAGAGAATTGTAGACCAATTTCCCTCATGAACATTGATGCAAAAATACTCAATTAAATACTGGCAAATCGAATCCAAGAACACATCAAAAAATATCCACCATGATCAAGTAGGCTTCATCTCAGAGATGCATGGATAGCTAAACATATGAAAATCTGTCAATGTAATACACCATATAAACAAACTGAAAGAAAAAAAAACCACATGATCATCTCATTAGATGCTGAAAAAGCCTTTAACAAAATCCAACACCCCTTCATGTTAAAGGTATTGGAGAGATCAGGAATATAAGGAACATACCTAAACATAATAAAGACAATTTATAGCAAGCCAACAGCCAACATCAAATTAAATGGAGATTAACTCAAAGCAATTCCACTAAAGTCAGGAACAAGACGAGGATGTCCACTCTCTCCATATATATATTCAATATAGGACTTGAAGTTCTAATTAGAGCAATAAGACAACAAAAGGAGATCAAGGGGATACAAATTGGAAAGGAAGAAGTAAAACTTTCACTATTTGCAGATAATATGATAGTAAACATAAGTGACCCAAAAAATTCTACCAGGGAACTCCTACAACTGATAAATACCTTCAATAATATGGTAGGATACAAGATTAACTGAAAAAAATCAGTATCCCTCCTATATACAAATAATAAATGGGCCCAGCAGGCTTCTGGGAATCCGGTGCCTGTGGTGTGACACCTTGCAAAGCCTTGGTGCAGTGGGAAGAGGCTTGGACCTGTGTAGCTTAAGTTTTCCTGCCTGGCCCACAGTCAGGACAAATCTCTCTCACCTGCCAGTCCCACAGCCACTCAGACCCAACCAAGCAAACACAGAGACTTGTATTGGTTACAAACTGTATGGCCGTGGCAGGCTTCTTGCTAACTGTTCTTACAGCTTAAATTAATCCATTTCCATTAATCTATACCTTGCCACATGGCTCCTGGCTTACTGGCATCTTCACATGCTGTTTCTTATCGTGGCGGCTGGCAGTGTCTCTCTGACTCAGCCTTCCACTTCCCAGCTTTATTCTCCTCTTTGTCCCGCCTACACTTCCTGCCTAGCCAATGGCCAATCAGTGTTTTATTTATTGACTAATTAGCAACAAATTTGCCATACAGAACATCCCACAGCACTTCCCTCTTTTTTTTTTCAAAAAGGAAGGTTTTAACCTTAACAAAGTAAAATTACATATAATTTGGGAATTTGGGCATAGCTTCTCTTACTACTTCCTGCTGGAGGGGGGCGCTGTATCTTATGGGGATACAAAGAAAATTTTAGAATTATAGAATAGTCCATGAGGGTGTATCATCTGAGCCAGTTGCCTTCAAATCATTCTGGATGTTGGATCATCTGGGCCATGGTGTCATCGGAGACCTTTCAGGGGGTCTTGGCTGGTCAAACCTGATGTATCTTAATCTTGAACAAATCCATAGCCTCTGACTTTCTGTGGAAACAAAAGAGACTCTTTTCCAAAGCAACACATCCTTATATCCAAATTTTGAAGTCAAGGTATCTTTAAAATATATATATTGGTTTAACTCAACAGCTTTTACAATCAAATGTTTTCCTGCAGTTAAAAATCCCAAAGACAACACAATGCAGATTCTCTGTGTAATATCCATTTTTACGTGGCTTATTTTATATACTACCTTTACTGTCTCTTTAAAGACTTTATTTTTTAAAACTATGTATTTGTTTCTATAACTGTATATATCACCTTTTTTGTCTCTTTCAAGCCTACGTATCTTTTACACACATTGTAAACTATTACATCTGAATCTTTCTTATTGTGAATCTATTGCCTTAAACTGCAGCAGCTGTGGCTGCTGGCTCCGCCCACCTCAGCTTCCCAACATGGCTGTGGTTTACCGCCAGCTCTGGGAGCTATGGGGGGGGGTCTATGCTTTTATCCAAGCAGCAAGTAGCCCAGAAACCCTTTTTTGTTTTGTACTAGCAAAGGCTAAATCCACCACGTAGCTTAATGTGCCACTTGCAGAGGCCTCATTCCCGCCATACTGCAGGTTGAGCACGCACTCTAGGAACCCACCAGTAGCTGAAACTGGCAGCTGCCGCTCATTTGAGAGAGACAATTAGGAAGCTGTTTTTAGCTCCGTTTTAGAATCTTTTTTCTCAGTTTTTAGGTGGAAACTCTTGCCACCATGTTGGGCACCATTTGTAGCTTAAGTTTTCCTGCCTGGCCCACAGTCAGGACAAATCTCTCTCACCTGCCAGTCCCACAGCCACTCAGACCCAACCAAGCAAACACAGAGACTTGTATTGGTTACAAACTGTATGGCCGTGGCAGGCTTCTTGCTAACTGTTCTTACAGCTTAAATTAATCCATTTCCATTAATCTATACCTTGCCACATGGCTCCTGGCTTACTGGCATCTTCACATGCTGTTTCTCATTGTGGCGGCTGGCAGTGTCTCTCTGACTCAGCCTTCCACTTCCCAGCTTTATTCTCCTCTTTGTCCCGCCTACACTTCCTGCCTAGCCAATGGCCAATCAGTGTTTTATTTATTGACTAATTAGCAACACATTTGCCATACAGAACATCCCACAGCAGACCTGCCTAGGCTCAGTGAGCAGGGCTCTGCTGACTCTCCATGGGAGTCCTCGATTTGGGGGATGTGGGGATGTGGGGTGGCTTGGGAAAGAGGGCTGGGGGTGGGAGGAAGGAGGGGTGTGTGTGTGTGGATAGCATGAGGAGTGAGTAGAAAATTTCTTAATAAAGAAAAATAAAATAAATTAAAAATTAAAAAAAATGGGCCCAGAAAGAAATCAGAGAAACATCACCCTTTACAATAGCCACAAATAATATAAAATACCTTGGGGTAACTCTAACAAAGCAAGTGAAAGACCTGTATAACAAGAACTTTAAGTCTCTAAAGAAAGAAATTGAAGGAGATATCAGAAAATGGAAAGAAATGCCATACTCATGCATAGGTAGAACCAATATAATAAAAATGGCAATCTTACCAACAAGCAATCTACAGATTCAATGCAATCCCCATCAAAATCCCAACACAATTCTTCACAGACTTGGAAAGAACAATACTCAACTTCATATGGAAAAAAAAAAAAAACAACAACCCAGGATAGCTAAAACAATCCTTTACAGTAAAGCAACTTCTGGAGGCATCACCATCCCTGACCTCAAGCTCTACTATAGAGCTATACTAAGAAAAACAGCTAGGAATTGGCATAAAAACCAGCATGTAAATCAATGGAGTTGAATTGAAGATCCTGACGTTAATCTACACACCTATGAACACCTGATTTTTGAAAAAGAAGCCAAAACTGTACAATGGAAAAAAGAAAGCATCTTCAACAAATGGTACTGGCATAACTGGATGTCAACATGTAGAAGATTGCAAATAGATCCATATCTGTCACCATGGATAAAACTCAAGTCCAAGTGGATCAAAGACCTTAATATAAAACCAGTTACACTGAACCTGATAGAAGAGAAAGTAGGAAGTAGTCTTGAACACATTGACACAGACCACTTCCTAAATATAAGACCAGTAGCACAGACATTTGTTGCTCTCAGTTTTTGATCCATGGGAGAACTTACCCTATTGGAGGAGGGGTGAGGGGTGGGGGAAAAGGTGGGGGGGTAGGAGGAGGGATGAGAAGGGAATCTGTGGTTGTTATGTAAAAATGAATAAAAATAAAAATAAATAAATAAATGGGACCTCCTGAAACTCAGAAGATTTTGTAAGGCAAAGGGCATGGTCAATAAGACAAAACAACAGCCTATAGAATGGGAAAAGGTCTTCACCAACTCCACATCTGACAGAGGGCTGATCTCCAAAATATATAAAGAACTCAAGAAACTAGACATCAAAATACCAAACAATTCAATTTAAAACATTGGCTACAGAGCTAAACAGAGAATTCTCAGCAGAAGAATCTCAAATAGCCAAAAGACATTTAAGGAATTGCTCACCATCCATAGTCATCAGGGAAATGCAAATCAAAATGACTCTCAGATATCATCTTACACCTGTCAGAATGGCTAAGATAAAAAAAAAAAACTGAAGACAGCTTATGTTAAAGAGGATGTGGATCAAGGGGAACACTCCTCCACTGTTGGTGGAAGTGCAAACTCGTACAGCCACTTTGGAAATCAGTATGGCAGTTTCTCAGAAAATCGGGAATCAATCTACCTCAAGACCCAGCTATACCACTCTTGGGCTTATACCCAAAGGACACTCAATCATACCACAAGGACACTTGCTCAACTATGTTCATAGGACATTATTTGTAATAGCCAGAACCTGGAAACAACCTAGATGCCCCTCAACTAAAGAATGGATAAAGAAAATGTGGTACTTATACACAATGGAGTACTACTCAGTAGTAAAAAAAAAAAACAATGACATCATGAAATTTGCAGGCAAATGGATGGAACTAGAAAATATCATCCTGAGTGAGGTAACCCAGACTCAGAAGGACAAACATGGTATGTTCTCACTCATAAGTGGACACTAGATGTAAAGCAAAGGATAACCAGACTACAACCCACAGCTCCAGAGAAGCTAGCTAACAAGGAGGACCCTAAGAGGGACTCATGGATCACCCTGGGAAGGGGAAATAGATTAGATCTCCTGAGTAAACTGTGGGTGAGGGGGGGCAATAGAGGATAGGGGATGGAGGATGAAAACATAAGGGGATGGGATGGCTGAGCTGTAACAGGGACTGAGTGGGAGAGCAATAAAAGATTTATCTTGATAGAGGGAGACATCATGGGGATAGGGAGAAACCTGGTTCTAGGGAAGTTCCCAGGAATCCACAAGGATGACCCCAGCTTAGACTACTAGCAATATTGGAGAGTGTGCCTGAGCTGGCCTATTCTGGTAATCGGATTGGTGAATACCCTAACTATCACCATAGAGTTTTCATTGAGTAACTGATGGAAGCAGATGCAGAGATCCAGAGCCAAGCTCCAGGAGTCCAGTCAAAGAGAGGGAAGAGGGATTCTATGAGCTAGGGGCATCAAGATCATGATGGGAGCTGGGTGGTGGTAGCACATGCCTTTAATCCCAGCACTCAAGAGGCAGAGCCAGGTGGATCTCTGTGAGTTCCAGGCCAGCCTGGTCTACAGAGTGAGATTCAGGACAGGCACCAAAACTACACAAAGAAACCCTGTCTCGAAAAACTTGAAAAAAAAAAAGAGAGAGAGATTATGATGGGGAAATCTACAGAGACACCCAAACCAAGCTAGTGGGAACTCATGAACTTTAGACCAGCAGTGTTGCTTGGTCTGTTTGAGGGACCCCTGGCAGTGTGGTCACGATCCATCCCTGGTGCATAAGCTGGCTTTTTAGAGCCCGTTACCTATGGTGGGATGCTTTGCACAGCCTTATTGTGTGTGGGGGGGAGGGCTTGGACCTTCCTCAAATGAATGTACTAGGTTTTGCTGACTCCCCATGGGAGGCCTTACCTTTTCAGAGGAGGGGATGGAGGTAGGTTGGGAGGGAAAATCTGGGAGGGAGCAGGAGGAGGGATGAGAGGGGGATCTGTGGTTGGTAAGTAAAATGAATAAGAATTTTCTCAGTTAAAACAAAAACCAAATAGGATGATGTAGGAATTAGGAAAAAAATAGGAAGAGTAGGTGGAACTTAGAATAAATTATATATATGTGGAGTACATGCAGACATGCTGTAACTTACTGTAAGTTGCTGACCATAGGCTTAAAATCCCCTGGCTATAGAGGCTGAAGAGATGGCCTAGAGGTTAAGAGCACTTCCTGCCCCTGCAGAGGACACAGGTTAGGTCCCCAGCACCCACACCATAGCCCACAAATACCTGTAACCCACAAAATACTCACAGTTAGAAAATAAAATTTACCCCTCTATCCCCAACTTAGGGTGGTATGACTATTCTGTAGTCTTCTTTATCCTCCCTTTATCTTTGTTTCATTCTTAAAATGAAAATACATTTAATTTCTTCTCACCTTATTTCTCAAACCCTCTGTTTTTCTAAATACCTCCTTCACCACTGTATTTATTCTCTAGGGTTGCTGGTCAGTTAAAACAATGAATGGATCTGCATCAGGAGTTGTAGAGGGTGGAGGTCTGATGTTGAACCAGTACAGGCAGCCCCTTCTGAGCATTCTGAGAATATGTCCAGCCCTCCCTTCTTGGTGTGCTGGCTGCCATCTTTATGTTCACACAATACTCGTCTTAATTTCTCCTTTTATAAAAGTACTGATCATATTGGGCTACACCTCACTCTAATGACTTTACCTTAACTACTTTTATCTGAATAGCTCCATTTCCAAATAAAGTCACATTCTGAGGTACTAGGGAATTTGATGTATGACTCGTTTGGATGAGACACAGGAGCTGCTAACAGCTGTTTTCTCCTTGGAGTTAAAATTCTTGAATGTGAAATCAATCTTTACTATTTATTCCCTTATCTAGAATTCATCCATCAAATCACTGCAGTCTGCCATTTAACCAACTTAAACTCAGAATTTCTTAAGTTCTTCTAACCTACTTGTTAGGTTTAATATATGCATTTTGTCTTTATTAACACAGAGAGAGAGAGAGAGAGAGAGAGAGAGAGAGAGAGAGAGAGAGAGAGAGAGAGAGAGAGAGAGACAGAGAGAGAGAGAGAGAGAGAGAGAGAGAGAGAGAGAGAGAGAGAGAGAGAGAGAGAGAAGAAGAGAGAGGAGAAGAAGAGACAGCAAAGACAGAAACAGAAACAGACAGGGTGTCCTTATGTAGCTTAGCCTGGTCTCAAACTCAGGATATTTCTGCCTAAGCCTTCTGTGGTAGTTTGAATGTAATTGGCCACCACAAGCTCATAGGGAGTGGCACCATTGGGAGGTGTGGCTTTGTTGGAGTATATATGGCCTTGTTGAAGGAAATATGTCACTGTGGGGGTGGACTTTGAGGTCTCATATATGCCCAAGTCACACCCAATGCCCCAGACCACTTCCTCTTGCCTGTGAATAAAGATGTAAGAACTCTCAGCTACTCTCGTCTTATGTCTGCCTTCATGATGCCTTGCTTCCTGCCATGATAATGGACTAAACCTCTATACTGTAAGTGAGCCACCCCAATTAAATGTTTTCCTTTATAAGAGTTGCTGTGGTCATGGTATCTCTTAACAATAACAGAAACCCTAAGTAAGACAGATGTTGGTACCAGGAGTGGGGGTATTGCTGTGAAAGGCTTTGCCATGCTTTTATTTGGAGGAATTTAAATTTTGGGAGTTTGAGTTAGGAAAGCGGTGGAATGCTTTAAGCACTGCTTAATGGGCCACACCAGTAGGAGCATGGAAGACAGTGGTGCTAAGAGTGATTTGAAATGTGGGTGGCTCACTCAAGAGGTTTCAGAGGAGAAGAATTTTAGTATGTTTCCTAGAAATAGTTCTTGTGATATTTTGGTGAAGAATGTGGTTGCTTTTTGCCATTGTCCAAAAAGGTTCCCTGAGGCTAAAGTGGAGAGGTTTTGATTAATTAATTCTCTTGGCAGAGGAAATCTCAAAACAGCCTAGTATAGAATCTGTTGTGTGGTTACTAGTGTTAATCTTCTAATGAAGATATATAATGAAAAGGAGCAAACTGAGCAAGGAAAAACATTTGAGGAGAAAAAGAGTACCAGAAAGAGGAATAGATCTAAGTCTATTCAACAAGATAAACAGATTAAGAAATGGAAAGTATTATAAATAAAGGGAGTGGTGACCTCAGGACAATATCCCACACAGCTAAATTTGTGAAAAGGAATTAAAGAAAAATTTAGAGCTAGGTGTGGTGGTGCACACCTTTAATTCCTTTAAAAAGGAAGAGACTGGCAGATCTCTGAGTTTGAGGTCAGCCTGTTCTACAGATCCAGTTTCAGGACAGCCAAGCTTAGGCAGTGAAGGAAACCATTAAAAACAGAAAGCTGGTGAAGATATACTTGAACTAGGGGACCATTTTCCAGCCTCAGCAGGAAGCAGAACTTGGCAGCTTTGGCCATGTGGTTCTGCTTTAGAGTTAAGGACAGAAGAAAGAGGCTATGGAATTTGCCCCCATGACTAAAAATAAAAGCCAGGCATATGTCAGGAGTGTCCCTGAATAGAGGCCTAGAGAGGCCATTGCATGAAGCTGTGAAGTTGAAGCCTGGACTGCATTGGAGAATCCAAGATGTTAGATATGCCAGAGCCATGGGATACTTACCAAGGAAAGCTGCTAATGGGGTAGAACCAGACCAAAAGAAAGAAGTGTGCTGCACTTCTGTTGGCAATCTGAAGAGCATTTTGACATCAGACATTCAGAGTTTGCAGTTTGCCCAGCTGGTTTTCTAGTCTTGCTTTGGTCCAGTATTTCCTCACTATGCTCCCTTCCCTGTGTTTTGGAATGGTAATGTAGATCCTTGCCTTTATAAGTAGGCAGCATGTCATCTGCTTTTTTTTTTTTTATAGGCGATTACAGTTAAGAAATTGCATGAATCTCAGAAGAGACTTTGAACTTTGGACTTTGAAACATTGTTGAGACTGTGATAGACTATGGGGACTTTTGAAGTTAGATTAAATGCATTTTGCATTATGATATTGTTACAAGCTTATGGGGGCCAGGAGTGGAATATGGTGGTTTGAATGTAATTGGCCCCTATAAGTTCATAGGGAGTGGCACCTCACTTCAATGTTTTCTTTATAAGAGTTGCTGTTGTCCTAGTTTCTCTTCACAGCAATAGACACCCTAACTAAGACACCTTCCAAGTGCTGGAATTACAGGTGTGTACCACCTGTACACATGCCTGACTTTAGAGACAGATCTCTTCATTGGCATCCATGATGTAAACATCTCTGGATATACTTTGGGCTTCTCATCATTTCACTGCTTCCTTCGGTAGAAGATCATTGATGGCCACAACTTCTCTTACAACCCACAAACTGACAATTTCCAAGTTTATCACTGGCTCCAAATTTTGCCAGAAATGCCACCATAAAGATGACACATTGTTGTAAGGGCAAGTCAAACACAGGAAGAACTAAACCTGAACTATCATAAATCATAAATCATGGAGCCCTACGTCATTTGACAATATCATATTGCTTTCAGGCCCTGTCACCTAATATGACTGATTTTTCTAAACAGTCCCGACTTTCCACCAAAATTGCTTGCCGTAATTTTGTATTTTGTTTAGGCTTCTATGGGTATAATCAAAAACCGCAAGTAAGCATCCTCATTTAAATCTTTCATCACTGAGCTTGATGTACAGTCACCTGACATGAAATGAAATCCTGAAGGAAAAGTATTAAGTGGAATGATTAAACATATTCCACTCAAAACTCCATGCTCCTGCCCCACCTACTGAGACAGTCAGTATGCCCCAAAGGGTGATGTGCAAATTCTCCATCCCCCATCATCCAGCACACACTTTGGCATTTCAGTTCCTGGGGTCTCTTTCACCCAATAATAAATATTTAGTAGAAACTGGTTATAAAGACAGTGTCTATAAGTGACATCCCTGAATTCATCAAGGGCATGGCTGGGTGATCCTTAAAGTAAATTTCTCTGTCAGACCTAGAATGACTGTGATGGATACCATTATTTTCTACTGTTCTTTGGTCATTGTTTTTTCACTGGCTATTTTCTACATAATGGATTATTCACTCCTTCATTTATAATTTCACTGCCACTGCTTACATTCAGAAATATCAAGTCACAATGTACTGTTTATCTTGGGAAGCATTTACAAGCCTACTTCATTCAAGTCCTGACCTAAACCATGGTCTCCAGAGCACATCTCACCATTCAGTATGCTGCTGTTCAGGGTCTTTTTGTGGACTTACAATTTTAATCAGTACACTTTTAGATGTATCACTTTACAAGAAAGGCTCTATTCCATACAGTTTTATCCTAATATATGTATTTAACAATTCCTAATCATTACATCTGTGAATCTACTGAGATAAGGGTATGACATTCTGGGAATAATTTTTAAGTCTTGCTGTGTTCTTAGTAAGTCCATTATGGTCTCAGCATTATGAACCACAGGTCTTTAAATATGTAACCAGAGGCTTTTCTCTGTCCTGTCCAGCAGCTATTTCCAAATAATCACTTAGAGGCTTATATTACTTATAAATGTTTGGCCATTAGCTCAGCCTTATTACTAGCCAGCTCTTACATTTAAATTAATCCATTTCCATTAATCTATGCATCGCCACATGGCCCATGGCTTACTGGTTCTCTGACATCTTGTTCCTTCAGTGGCTGGATAGTGTCTGCTTGACTTCACCCTTCTTCATCTCCAACTTCAGTTTGAATGTACTGCCTAACCTTATTCTGCTGGGTTATTGGCCAAAACAGCTTTATTTGTCAACCAGTGAGAGCAACATATATTCACAGCATACAGAAAGATCATCCCACAGTATTTCTCCCTTTCTGTCTAATCAAAAAGTAAGATTTTAACTTTAACATAGTAAAATTACATATAACAAAACAGTTATCAAGCAGGAATTACAGTTACAATATCTAGTCTATTTGTATTTGGCAAAATTAAAGAAAATACTTTATCATCTATCCTATTTTTGTGAGTCTAAAGTTTCATTTATAATTTATCTTTTATGGTAACTAAGAAAAACTATAATTATAACTATCTAGTCTTCAACTCCATCAAAAACCCCAGGAGGATATTTTCCCAAGTAAACAGGAAGTGCATTGCAAGCAACTTCCAAAACTCTAGAAATGACATAAATTTGGCTGCCTGGACAGTCACCCAAAGTTCTTTTGTAACATTGGGACATCCATCTTCATTCAGCCTATAGGCCTAGAGTATCTGGCAGACTTCTCAGTGAAGTAGGAAATTTGAAGGACTGTCCTGCCTATATTGGCAAAGTTCATCAGTTGCTTTCCTCTGTATCCTGTAGAATGTCTGGCAGTTTCTTCTGTGAAGCAGGAACCTGAAGGACCACCTGCCTTGTTTTGGCAAAGTTCAGAAGTCACTTTCCTGTGGGTTCTGCATGTCTAGTTTATACAGGATACTGTCAAGCAGTCCAGGCAAGAGCAGTTTCTTGCCCAAATGGCTAGCCTTGCCACATTGAAAGCAAACTCCATAAGAAATCTTTTCAATGCCCATCATCTTCTTTGAAGTAATTAGTGCTGCCAGGAGCAGACATGTCTCACTGTCGAGAAAAGTTTAAGTTCTTTTTTGTTTGTTTGTTTGTTTTTGTTTTTATTTTTTTATTTTATAATTTTATTTAATTTTACATATCAGCCACGGATTCCCTTGTTCTCTCCCCTTCCCACCCACCCCCCGCCTTCCCTCCAGCCCACCCCCCATTTCCATCTCCTCCAGGGCAAAGACTCCCCTGGGGACTGAGTTCAACCTGGTAGATTCAGTCCAGGCAGGTCCAGTCCCCTCCTCCCAGGCTGAGTCAAGTGTCCCTGTATAAGCCCCAGGTTCCAAACAGCCAGCTCATGCACTGAGGACAGGTGCCGGGTAATGGATGAGAGACAACCCGAACTGACCTACTCTGGTGATAGGATGGCCAAACACCCTAATTGTCATGCTAGAAACTTCATCCAATGACTGAGGGAACCGGATGCAGAGATCCACGGCCAGGCCCCAGGTGAAGCTCCAGGAGTCCAATTGGTGAAAAAGAGGAGGGTTTGTATGAGTGAGAATTGTTGAGACCAAGATTGGAAAAAGCACAGGGACAAATAGTCAAACGAATGGAAACACATGAACTATGAACCAATAGCTGAGGAGCCCCCAACTGGATCAGGCCCTCTGGATAAGTGAGACAGTTGATTAGCTTGATCTGTTTGGGAGGCATCCAGGCAGTGGAAAAGTTTAAGTTCTTAAAACATTTTAAATGCCATATTCTGTAGGTCTTTGAAGTGTTTGAAGATTACCTATCTAATTGAAATATATCTTTGTACACCTCAAAAACCTAACTAATATGACTATAAGTTTGACTATTATAGATGACTATTAATCTGTATTTTTAATTATATATATTTTTAAATGAGCTGCATAAACATAATACCTTAAACAAGAATAGAAATATATATACAGCATAACAAAATTGACCTTAAATTTGTATCAATAAACCAAAATCCATACCAATGTAAAATATTTTAAGATTTACAGTTGTTTTTTGGATTAGAGTGGATTCAATAATCTACCTTTTTTTAACATGATAATCTACCCTTTTCCCCACATCATTTCTATATCATATCCCATTTTCTTCTTTAGAAAGAGATTGAATATGACCATTAACCAATTATAACTAACCCCTTTTAAATGAAAACAAACATTCATAAATAACATCTTGGGAATTTGGGCATAATTCTCTAGACTAATTCCTGTTGATTGGAGGTGCTGGTAATCTTATGGGGACCCTGAGAAAATTTGAAATAATGGCCAAGTCCTGGGAAGACCAGCTATAATCTTTATTGATAGATATCATCTGTCAAAGTTCAGGAGGTCTCCCTTGATCAAATTTGATCCATCTTAACCTGGAACAAATCCACAGCCTCTTGTTTTCTGTGGAAACAAAATCAAAGCTGCTTCTCCAAAGCAATGCATCTTTTAAATTCCATTTTACAAATATATTTTTTGACTTCTGTTTTAAAGTTAAGGCATTTTTAAAACATCTAGGCTGGTGTATTTCACCAGTCTCTCTCTCAATCCCACGTCTCTCAGCAGCTGTTGTTTGCTTGTCAGCATCAAAACATTCAAAATCAGCACAACACTATACAAGATCCAGACTCCTGTGTATTTCCTATTCTATGTGATTTATTCATTTTTATTATTTTACTTCTTTTTCTAAAGACTTTATTATATTATTTTTTAAACTATTTCTTTCTTTCTGTAATCTATTTTTCTTAAGCCTATGCACATTATAAAACACACTGGAACCTCTTCAGAGGTTTTTCTGTCTGGACCTCTTTTTATTGTGTATCTTTAACCTTTTCTCTGTATGAGCAAAAGCTAAATCCATCATTCAGTGTGTGGCTGATTAGTCTTTCTGTACCAAGGTCTGTGTGAGACTGTGGAAACCTGACATGCTCCTTAGCTCATGGCAGCTGGTGACTGGTGGCTGGCTCTATATTGCAGGCAGCTGTTGGGAGATGTGGCACTAACACTGCTGCTGGCACGAGACTGTGAGACTAGAAAGACCAGTGCAGCTCTGTTTCTATGTGTTCAGAACCTTTTTTTAAAGCTTTCTTGGATCTTATGTGGATCCACACCAGATGGTGGGCACTGTATGTAACCAGAGGCTTTTCTCTGTCCCATCCCATCCCACAGCCATTTCCAAATAATCACTCAGAGGCTTATATTACTTATAAATGTTTGACCATTAGCTCAGGCTTATTACTAGCTAGCTCTTACATTTAAATTAACCCATTCCTATTATTCTATATTGCCATGTGGCCCATGGCTTACTGGTTCTCTAACATCTTGTTCCTTGGATGGCTGGATCATGTTTGCTAGACTCCACCCTTCTTTATCTCCATCTTAAGTTTGAATGTACCCCTTAACCTTATTCTGCCTGGCTATTGATCAAAACAGCTTTATTTATCAACCAATGAGAGCAACATATATTCACAGTGTACAGAAAGACCAACCCACAGCAAAAGTAGTATGTTTAATGAATGCAGTTTTTCCCATCTCTGTCAGCATCTGAAAGTCAGTCCCCATGACAACTGATCTCCACAGGGTCCCCGTCTGCTGCCCATACCTTACTGAGACTGACGTTCAGCTGAGATCCACTGCAGGGCTACAAGCTTCAGCTATAGCTGCTTGCCTGATCTACGACCATCTCCAGCAGAAGGAAAAACAAGGCCTGGTGTAAACAGATTGGCACCTCCAAAATTCTTTTCTCTTTATTTTACATTTTTAAAAAATTGGAAAGTTTTGTTGTTGTTTGTTTTTACCCTAATTTAGTGGTCCTCACTGTCTCAAGAGGATGGTTCAATATTGTGTCAACCACAGAACTATTTCTACATTTAAGGGTTTTTGTTGTTTTTTTGAAGTCCAATGTAGAATATTTAAATTTAAAATGTATAGTTCAACTGAATTTTCAATGGCACCATTGTACCACCACTTACATATAGATAAATGATATTTGTATCATTCCAGAAAGCTGTCATATCCCATTCCAGTCAATACCACCACCACCAAGAACTGCACCTAGAGGAAGACCACAGATTAAAATGTCCAGTTTCTGGCTTATTTTACTTCTATATAATGTCTAGGAGACTTACTTATATAACAGTCTTGTAAGAAGAGGTGGTTTTTAAATTCATTCTATGAATATTTGATTGCTTTCAGTTTTGAATGTGATGAACTGAGATGCTATAGTTTTTCTTTTTGTGTGTGTTGGAGGAAGTGTATATGTATGCATATGTGTATGTGAGCACACTTGTGTGGGTACGTGTGGAGGCAAGATGTCAGGCATTGTTAAAGCTCTCCAGTTTACCAGTTCAAACTTCTTAACACAACTTGAAGTGCAAGCTCTACTAAGCACATGATCTGGAGAAAGAACAGGAATATATGGGTACATCCAGGAGAAGAAAAGAGTTTGGTAATAAAAATACTCCATGGTAAATCTACTTAGAGGGAAACTTTATATTTAATGGTAAAATTCAATATTTTAATACTTTAGGAATGGGAAAAATGTAAATACTCACTAGTAAGTATCATTTGAACTTTAATTAGCACATTTAATCAGTGAACTCAGTATTTAGAAGTCATCTCACTTGGGCTGGGCATGGAGGACACTGATATATATCTAAGAATGTGATCCACTCATACCTCCACTGCCATTTTTCCCTTATCTCTATTCCATTAGGACTATTTGAAATTATAGCATTATTTTTATTAACTTAATCCTTGAAACTTTCACATTTAAAATTCCAATTGTAGTTAAGTCCTATCTTCCCTGGCAAAGAATGACCACAGGTTCCTTTCAAAGAGGGCAGGGGTTTTACCTCTTGGAATTCATGCACCACACTCCACCTTTCCCAGCAAATAGGTGCTGTTTTCTAATCAGAGGGGCCAGCCATTTATGTACATAATTAATCCTCTTCTATCTAAATTGGTCCTCCAGTCTTCCTTATCTCAGACAGGGTCAACTGTCTTTCCAGACAACCAAGACAAAAACTTGGAGTTGCCGGGCGGTGGTGGCGCACGCCTTTAATCCCAACACTCGGGAGGCAGAGCCAGGCGGATCTCTGTGAGTTCGAGGCCAGTCTGGGCTACCAAGTGAGTTCCAGGAGAGGCGCAAAGCTACACAGAGAAACCCTGTCTCGAAAAACCAAAAAAAAAAAAAAAAAAAAAAAAAAACTTGGAGTTACCAGTTACTTTTTCCTTCACAATTAACATCAAATTATTTAACACATTTTATCAAAATTTCTTTCAAATTTTGTTCAGAATCCAACATCTCAACTCAGCTACTGCTGATACTTTTATCTGAGCCACCAATATTTCTCTGGCTTTCCTGTTTCTTTTGGTTTTCTAAAGCTTATTCTCTTTATAGCATGTAGTGATCCTTTTCAAAATCTAAGCATGATATCTGACTCCTCTGCTAATGCTCTCCACCTTCAACTCATACAACTGGAACCAAGATAAGAAATGCCCCACAACCTGCTCTTAACACCATTAATTCCTTCTCTGACACCCACTGCCCTTGATTCCTGTGTTCTACCTACACTGATCTTGTATCCTGTGTTTGGGAAGCAGGGAGCCTTGGTGACTGTGGTGGGAACCTGCTGCCTCCACCATACTAATTGCAATTTTGAGATCACATACTATTTTATGCATTTCTATTTTCAGCATATTATGCTCTATGTAGCAACCCAGTATGTCTACAAATTCTTCTATACCTCTTTCATCAGCAGTTGGTCTAATTCCTTTCCTACTATGCAAGGACAGGTCTTGTAGGTCTTAGCTACTGCCCAGGCAAACACAGGGCTGAAAGCGCTGCATGCTTCCGAAGCCCAGCTTCTGTGCTAGCACGCTGGCTCTCCTCGCTCATCACCCAGCCAGAAGGAAGGTAAGTATAGGGAGCAACTGTATGATCTAAGATTCTCCAAGGAACTACGATCAACTGAGCTTGTTTTTTTCTTTTGGGGCCATAAATAAATAAAGCTTACTAGTTTATCAGTACTTCATGAACTGAAGGGAATAAGGAGTAATATACATAGTACAGAATTAGTAGTTCAAAAAGCATAGGTAACAGGCAAGTATTGAAGAATATTCATGGCTACCTTCTAGATTGGTTTCCCCTAATCATAGCATGGGTATTACTTGGAGGACTAACACATGTTAATCATGAAATAACTGCATCTATCCTGGTGGTTCTTCCCTATCATAGATCCAAGTACCTGCTTCACATAAGAATCTCAGTGGTAACATATCCAACACTGAACCTATAATCTTCTCTACTTCATAGGTTTGGTGGTCCCCAGAAGGTCCTGTTTCAGAGGATAGCTCTACCAATACTGGCATCAACTGCTGTCCACAGATCTGCTTCCATTGATCACTGCTGTACCCCTTGCATGTAACACACTGTGTGGCATGTAGCTGGTATTTAGTTTTTATGCACACATGCTACATTATAGAAATTGTCATTATATCAGACACTCCAACTTCTTGAAAGTGAAATGAAACAGATTAGTTTATCCCAAACCCTAGCAAAAATTTAATGCCTCTAAAGCCCAGGCTCTTCCCACTGTCCCAAAGCTACCGCTATTTACTCAAACAGTTGGAATGCCTTTGAAAAGTCCTGTCATTACTGTGCATCAACATGCAGTTAAATGAATGAATTGATTATAATTTTCTCTGCTCTACCAAATTCCTACTTCTCACACTGTGCCTCATGAATGCATGCCACTGTTGGAAAATGAGCACTAACTGTGTATTCAGGGCAGTTAATGGGAAATTTGAGCAAAATGTTGCTATCTTGATAGGAAAGATTTCCTTGAGCTCTACTAAGCATTTTTGAAAGCAAATTGTGTCAGCAGACTGAAATTACATGCAAAATTATCAACACTATTCACATATGATAGGCAGCACCATGTAAAGAAGAAACTTTAAAAAATGCAGGAGATGAAGCTGAATATCAGCCTCTAATTGCCTCCAATCCAATACTCTGCTCATGGTAAGGTGTGAAATGCAAGCAATTACGTACATGACAGTGAGAGAGACTTCAGGTAGCACTAGAGGAAGTGTCACAGCTGACTGCACATGCAGCCATTCCTGTATTCTGTCTACTATTTTTAAAACTTACTGGGTGCTTAATGTGATAAAGGATGCACTGTTCCTGGACTTGGTACACTGTTCTTCTCTGCATGCATGAGCAGAGTGGTACACACTAAATAGATTGTTCTACTGTTAGTTTCTCACACTCTAGAAAATATTAATTACATATACCAGTAGTTGGTTAGTTAATTCAGCCTGTTGGACATATACGTACTAGTTTTTCACTTATAACACTTGAGAGCAAACAATGTAAGTCCCAGGTTGCCTGTTCTCTGACTTGATCTCTTAGCTAAACTTCTGACATTCTCATTGGATCCTGAAAAACAAGTAATGAAGTCTACACATGAAGTGGATCACTTCAGTTCCAAAACATACATGATACTACAACCATTTGATTAACTCCAAATTTTTATGACATAATCTTTTGAGGTACCGTACTCCTTTGTATGAGGACAGCTAACACTTAACTGAACACTTGTTATGTGCCTAGTACTTACTTAGGTCAGGGCTTTTCAACCTTGGTACAACAGACATTTCTTTGTTTTTATTATTGAAAATAGACTTTTTTCATACAATATATTCTGGTTATGGTTTCCCTTCCCTCAACTCTTCCAGCTCCTATCTGATGTACATTTTTTCTTGCTCTCTCATTATTAAACAAAGGTCTCAAAAAGAAAGAAAAAGAAAAAATAGATAAAATAAAAACAAATTAATAGAAAAAAACAGAGTCAAAGAAAAAGCACAAGACATATAGACAGAGGCACATTTGCACACATAGAAATCCACAAGACACAAAATCAGAAACCATACTATATAAACAAAGACCTGTAAAGGGTAGGGGCTGGGGAGACCAGACAAAGCATTATGAGACAAACAACAACAAAACCCCCTGAAAGAACAAAGAAACAATCCTTCAAAAATACCATTGAGTTTGTTTTGTGTTGGTCATCTAACTGCTGAGCTTGGGGCCTACCCTTAAGTGTGGTTTGTACCCAGCGAGACTCCTATAAAGAAAAATAAGTTTTCCCTTGCAAGTGGCTATCCATTGGGAGAGAGTTTCTGGGTTAGAGATGGGGCTGTGTCTGCTTCCCCGCACAGCACGGGGACGTGATCTGGTTTAGGCCTGCACAGACCCTATGCATGCTGCCCCAGTGTCTGTGAGTTCCTATGTGCATTGGTCTTGCTATGTAGAGACCACCTTGTTTCCTTGGTGTCTTCCATCCCCATTGGCTCTTACCATTTTTCCACCTCTTCTTCTACATAGTTCCAAGAGCCCTGAAGGAAGGAATTTGATGGAGACATCCACTTAGGACTGAGTGTTCCAAGGTCTTTCACTCTCTGCTTTGTCTAGTTGTGGGTCTTTGGATTCATTCTTATCTACTGCAGGTAGAAGCTTCTCTAATAATGGGTGAACAATCCACTAGTCTGAGTATAGTAGAATGTCTTTAGAAGTCATTTTATTGCTATGCTCTTTTAGCAGAGCAATAGTTTTTGGTTTCCTCCTAGGTCCATGGCCTTTCTAGTCTCATGTTCTTGGCCACACAAGCAATGTCAGGCATGGGTTCCATCTTACAGAACTGACCTTAAAACCAATCAGATAGTAGTTGGTTATTGTCATAAGCTTTGTGCCACTATAACACCAATGTATCTTGCAGGCACATTAACATTGTAGACCGAAGGGTTTGTAGCTGGGTTTGTGTACATTTCTCCTCTGGTAGCATGCAGAATACCTTCAATTACCATGAACACTAGTCAGTAAAGTGATGGCTTCTAGGTAGGCAACAGCTTGACTTCTCTATTTAATGATTTATATAAGTTATGTGGTTGATATATTGTGTACTTTAATAAACTTATCTGGGGTCACAGAACAGCCACTAGATTAGACATAGAGGCCAGACAGTGGTGGCACACATGCCTTTAATCCTGTC